TCCTAATGAGTTTCTGCTGTTGGGTGTGGCCTATTATGCTAATGAGTTCCTGATGGGCGTGGCCAACTTGGGAGCCAGCCGGAACTCTGTACCTGTGCGTTCCTGCCCAGAAATAGCTCTGCTGCTGACACAGATGCAGATGAAACCTTCAGAAGAGGAATGCCTTTGAGAACTTAGACTTCCAGCATCCTGGGCAAGTTATTCTGCCTGACTCTTCTACCCGCCTGCTTCCTTCACCGGGTTCTCTTTTCCTTTGTAGCTTAGGGGAACCGGGCAATGGCGTGACCAGCTTGTCTCCAGCGGAGCCCATAAAAGTTAAAAGGAAGAAGGAGAAAGTGGATCAGCCTCCCGCCATTCCGGCCAAAGGTCTGTGGTAGCCGCCACGCATAGATGTGCCTTAAAAGGTCCAGAGAGAGAGAGAGAGAGAGATGTGAGCTAGTATGTTCCTGTGTGCCTGGGTATGAAGAAACCTTGTCCCATTGGTGACTGGCCCTGTCTCAACGTTTGCTGATGGTCATAAGACCATCAGGTGATTTGTTATTACGCGTGTATCCTGTTTTTCCTCAGAGGAGCCTGGGGTGGCATGAGTGGGGTTTCCCCCTGTATTATTTTCATAGCATGTGGTGTAGTGGTTAGGGTGTCAGGCTGAGATCTGCGAGACCCAGGTTCGAATCCCCACTGGTGCCATGGAACTCTGCTGGGTGACCTTGGCCCAGTCACTCCCTCTCAGCCGGACCTACCTCGCAGGGTTGTTGTGTGGATAAAATGGTGGAGAGGAGAAGGAGGCCGGCCTCTTTGGGTCCCCATTGGGGAGAAAGGCGGGACAGCAGTGAAGTGAACGGACGGGTAGAAACCAATGTTCCCTCTGAGCTGTGGAGTCTTGTGAGCAAAAATTCTACTCTGTGAGTGACTGGCGTTAAAATTGTGAGCGAGTGATTTGGCATAAGCTGCATAAACTAGTTTGCCCTGGAGCCCTCCTTCCTGAGCGAAGACAAATATGTGTGAGCCGGAGGCTAAAAAACTGTGAGCTGGCTCACACTAACAGCTTAGAGGGAACACTGGTAGAAACCCTGTTGGGGGTAAGTTTGGTCAATGAACAGTGACTGTTCAAGGCCACCTTGTTTGCTTTCTGTGAACTCTGGAACTGGGGCCTGACAGGTTCATAGAATCCCAGAATCCCAGAGCTGGAAGGGTTCCTAGAGGCCCTCTAGTCCAACCCCCCCTGCTCAATGCAGGATCAGCCTAGAGCATCCCTGACAAGGGTTTGTCCAGCCGCTGACTAAAGACTGCCAGGGAGGGGTTCAACCGGTTTAAACCTGCCATTCCATCACTTAATGGGTGCGTTCAGACGGGGCGTTTCTGCCGGCATAAACTGTACTGGTTGGAACCGGTGCAGTTTATGCCGGCAGAAACACGATCACACTTCCCTCCCTCACAGCGGAACCCATCGCAATACGCCCGTCCACACTCGTCTTCAGTTTGTTTTTTTTAACTTAGTTTGAGCATGCGCATAGGCAGCCATCCATAGAATGGCGATCTTCACGCATGTGCAAAAACCCCTGTCGTACATTTAAACTTTAAAGGTAAGGACTTACCTTTAAAGTTTAAAGAGCACAGTAGCCTCCCAGAGGTCCCGGACGCCTCCAAAACGCTACAGTAAGGCTCTTTTCTCTTTTTTTTAATACAAACGGCCGGGCGAAGCTTCGCCCAAGCGCATATCGCCGTCCTTTAAAAAAAATGGCGGGCGAAAATCGGAAGCCTCAGGCTTCCGAACAGAAGTAGCTGTGCAACGGTGGAGAGCGATCAGACGGTGAGGTACAGTGTTTACAACCGTTGTACTCAGGATACCACCACTTGGGGACCTAGTGGCAGAGTGCAACGGTGTAAAGGGCTTTACAACAGTTAGGGACAGGAGGCAGATGTGCTCAGTTTGAACGCCGGTAAGTACACCGATTGCAACTGGCACCTATACCGTTGTAAAGCCCCCGTCTGAACGCACCCAATGAGAGGCATCTCTAAACTTCTACTAGCTATGAAAACTGAACATCCGGGCTACTAGCCTTGTCAGCTGACAAGGGGGGCGGCGAGCTGGGTCACTTGCAGAGGAAACCTCCAGAAGGGACCGTTCCCTTGTCTGACATTTATTACTTCGTTCTAATTACCTGTGATGTATTAGGAAACTAATTGTCCTGCTTAAAACTGGCCTAGAAAGCAAATGGTCCATGGTTTGTGGAAACTAAAATCCTTCTCCTTGGACTCCGGGATATGACTAGCAGTATCAGCGGATGGGGCGGCGCCAGCATTCTCCTGTTACTGACTGGCTGTGAAATGACAAGTTTGGAGGATCATGATTTGACCTTTTGTTTTCACCGAAAAGGGGGATAGGCAGAAGAGGAGGGGCAGAGCTGTTTTCTGGTGCTGGAACCGGCGGAGCTTTTTGCCCTCGATCTGGGCTGGGTAATGGGCAGTGTTCCCTATAAGCTGTGGAGTCCTGTGAGCACAAATTCTATTTTGTGGGCTACTGGCATTAAAGTTGTGAGTTAACGATTTGGCTGCTGCATAAATTAGTCTGCTCTGGAGCCCCTCCCTTCCTGAGCTAAGACAAAAATGTGCGAGCCGAAGGCTAAAAAACTGTGAGCCAGCTCACCCTAACTCAGCTTAGAGGGAACACTGGTAATGTGGTTTGTATTCACTGCCCTGAAACTAACCCCAGGCGAGGGCACTGTTTGATCAGCATGGTTCTTGGTTTGCATTTTTGCTGTGCGTGCATAAGGCTTCCTTTCAAGCCCTCAAAACGGCATAGATCACAGCAGTTGCCTCCATGGAACTGGCTTCCTCGGTTGGGAGCGGGTGGTGGGCTCTCCTTCTGTGAGGAGGCTGAAGTTGGTTCCTTATTCGCACTTCCTTATTCATTCCTTATTCATTCCTTATTCGTTACTTATTCGTGTAGTCAGAAACACTAGGGAGAGTGAGTTGGAAAGCTCTGAACCCCAAAATAAGGTCTGGACCACCACATATCATATACCCCCACATTCACAGGACTCTCCCCTTCGAGGGGACACATTCTGTGTGCTGGTCCAAAGTGCGGTTCCGGTGCCAGCTGCTCCAAAGTGCAGTGCCCCCAGGACAGTCACACAGGCAGACACTGGAGCCAGGCTGCACCCCAAAATAATCTTGTGACCACCCCAAATGACACATCCCTACACTCTGGGGACTGGGCCCTGCAAGGTGACATACTGTGATGCCCGGTCCAAACACCGGTTCTGAATGTGTCCCCTTGAAGGGGAGAGTCCTGTGAATGTGGGGGTATGTGATACGTGGTGGTCCAGACCTTATTTTGGGGTCCAGAGCTTTCCAACTCACTCTCCCTAGTGGTTCTGACTACACGAATAAGTAACGAATAAGGAATGAATAAGGAAGTGCGAATAAGGAACCAACTTCAGCCTCCTCCTTCTGCGGAGGTTTTCAAGCAGAGGCTGGATGGCCATCCGACAGCAGTGCGGATTCTATGAACTCAGGCAGGTCACAAGAGGGAGGGCAGGGAGGTATCAGCCAATGCTTCGCTCTCATTGAGCCTTTTTAAAAATATAGCCAGGGTAGTGCCAAGCACCACTGTGGGGTCAGGAAGAAATGTTCCTCCAGGCCGGATTGGCCCAGGGATCCTGGAGGTGTTTTGCCTTCCTCTGGGCATAGAGCAGGGGTCACCGAGGTAGTTGTGAATTTCCTGTGTCGTCCGGGGGTGGGTGGGTGTTGGACTAGATGAGGTCCCTTCCACAGCTCTGTGTTTCTGTGTTCTTCTATGGCTAGCCTTCCCACATGGCAGCTTCAGTGTCTACAGTCTTCATTGCTGCCTGGTTCTGGAGGCAGCCCCACGCGGGCTGCCGAATGTCTGAATCAGAGCGTGTTTTCCTGCCCCGGGTTTGCTGGTTGGGAGGCCACTAAATGTGTCAGAGTAGGAAGACAGTAATGTTTGCCGTGACCCCGGAGGCAAGAAGGGGGCCACCCAGCTGCCTCCAGCAGGTCTGGAGAGAGAGTACACGTGTTTCCTAGGTAAAAGAATTAACTATATCCACCCTCCCATGTCAATCAGCTGATAGTCATGGTCGGTTTTGGGAAGGTGCCACTCCGGCAGCTGACCCAGAGACAGGAAGCACACTGTCACAACACCTGTTTGCACCGGCTGTTCCTTCGCCAGCTAGGAATTTGTGCCAGTAGGCCTGTTTCGGACGCATTTCGGAACGCACGTCCCCATCTGCTGTTTCCTACGTTTTTGGCCAGCCCCAGTTTTGTGTAAGACTGCTTCAGTGTGCCGGCGTGACGCATCCATGGCCGGGAAATCCTGCTCTCTATAGCAGATGAAGTATTTTACTAGCCAAGGCAGCGCATTCCTCAGCACAGGCCATGGTTTGACCTGGGGCGCAGTTCGCCTCCCGTCTCCTCCTTTGTGTTGTGCACCAAACTGTTGTACATATTAGATTCCATGTCAAAAAATGAAGTCAAATGAGGAGGAAGATCTATATTTTATTGTATTTAACAGAAAAACAGTTGGACCAAATAGTCCATCCAAAATTGAGTACTTTCTTCTCATATTAGGAATCTAATATGTATAACAAAACCCACTGTGTAGCTGAGAAGCTCAGGTAAAGGTAAAGGTTCCCTTGCTCGAAAGCCAGTCGTGTCCGACTCTAGGGTTGCGGTGCTCATCTCCATTCTCAAGCCGAAGAGCCAGCACTGTCCGAAGACGTTTCCGTGGTCATGTGGCCGGCATGACTGAACACCAAGGTGCACGGAACACTGTTACCTTCCCACCAAAGTGGTACCTATTTATCTACTTGCAATGTCTTGCTTTCGAACGGCTGGGTTGGCAGGAGCTGGAACTAGAGATGGGAGCTCACTCCATCATGCGGCACACTCGGGTCTCGAACTGCTGAACTACTGACCTTCCACAGCCTGCAGTTCAGCGTCTTAACCACTTGAGCCCCCGCAGCTCCGCGACCAAGAGGAAAAAAGTAATTTCCGTTTGTCCTCTTCTTCTTCTTCTTCACAGCACCAATATCCAACACTTTCCCAAAGCCTAAGCTCCTGAAACCACAAAGGAAAGTCCTGCTGGTGAGTAAGCCCATGAAGGATGGTCTTTTCCTCGAAATTCATTAGCTCCCCCCCCCCTTTCTTTTGTGTGACCACAAGCAGGACTCCAAGGTGAGTGTGGTGGACATGCCCATGAACACGCATGAAGCTGCCTTCGACTGAATCAGACCGCCCCCCCCCCCAGTCTGTCAAGTAGGGGTGTGCAAAAAATAAATAAAAATTCGGCCGGATTCGGATTCCACCGAATCGGGCAGAATCAATTTCGGCCCGCATAAAGACTCCTGCATGTCAATTTCGGCAGTAGGAGCGGATTCAGGAGTCTTTTGGCCAGCCGAATGTCAGTTTCAGCCCCATTATATCCTATGGGCCATTGAAATCAATGATGAAAACATAGGGTATATTCTGGGGAATGGAGGGGAGGGGGTTTGAAGGAGAGGCTCCAAACTCACAGGGTAGCTGCTGGAGCTTCTCCCCAAGATACCAACCAAGTTTCAAGAGCATTGGACCAGGGGGTGCAACTCTACGGGCCCTCAAACAGGTTGCCCCTATCCCCTCCATTGTTCTCTATGGTGAGGGGGAAAGTTTCAAACCTTAAGGAACAGCCCCCTTTTCAAACTCTTCTCCACGTGGACTCCTAGGGCCATAGCTAATCTGGGCGTCAGGCCCCGGGGACACCCAGATTATTCCTTCCTGGACACTAAAGAACTGCAACTGAAACAAAAAGCACAGTGGGAAATAAAGTGCTGGGCAAATTTTATACTTTCTTTCCCACTTTCTTTCCCACTGTGTTTTTTTGTTTCAGTTGCAGTTCTTTAGTGTCCAGGAAGGAATACTGTTCAGGAAAGAGGCTGTCCCCTCTTTATGGACCAAGTTTCTCTTAATTTCTCACTAGAGGCGCTGTTTTCAACGACACAAACTCACCCCAATATAGTTGAACACCCGTGCGCACAACTTTCCCACCCTGCTTCTGAATTCTGCCTGGAAAGAAAGGCTGGGGAGAGTGGCATGGTCTATGCTCAGTTATTACACATCCTTTGTTGAGAACTCTGTGCGCTCCACAATTCTGAACCTCCTGTGTGTTTCTTCATATTTTCAATCAAATTATTACATACTGGAAATATGCATAAGGGAAATTATTCTACACATTTTATGGAGCGCTATTGCTGGTAGCAGTAATTGAAGTACCTTTCCCACTTATGAAAGTACTAATTTTATTTGCTTTTATTGCTTTTCTAGATGCAATTATTTATTTAGTGTGTTTTGGCGTTATTAAATTATGTTTACTATAGGAACATCATAAAAATGTATGAAACTAACACATCAGCCATTGCTGGCCAGTGACCTGTATTGGAGGAATCGAGTGTTATTTTTCATATCCAAACTTAATAGAATAAAGTAGGAATAAGGAGATAATCTACCCTAGAAAACAATGCAATTTCTAGATAATGTAATAATGCACCTGGACAATATGATTTCATAAATCTTAGCTCTAAAATTTACATGAGCAGGGTGTTACGGGGCCATTGTAGGAGTCAAGGTAGGTTTTTTTTTAATGAAATTGAAGTGAGAAATGTAATTAAAGTGGGGAGAACGGGGAAGGAGCCGGTTTTGTTTGGTGTGAACAGATGAGTTGAGTTAGTGGTGGGTGCTGAAGGCAACCAGCATTCAGAGACTGGAGTTCTGAGAGCCAGTCCACCAGCCAGCCCTATTCCACCACCCTTGGTCAGGTGCAGGGCTCTCGCAGTCTCGTGAGTGGCCGCCAGCCACAGCTCACGCAAACAAAGAATGTTCTGCCATACCCTTAAAAAAAATCTTCTGCTTTACAAAAGCTTTTTGGGAAATCCAGAAAATTAGCATGTTTAGGAACAGGATTCCTGCCTAGTCTTTTTCCTTAGCATGTCCCTGTGTCCTGGAACCTTATTTTTGCAGAGGAGCAAGAACACCCATGAGGATGCCTTGCACTGAGCCAGAATGCCAGTCCGTGCGTCAGAGTCAGTCTCATCTACCCAAACCGGCAGCAGCTCTCTGGGCTCACAGGTAGAGAAGTTTTTCACATCCCCTGCTACGTCAGCCTTTTAACTGGAGGTGCCAGGAATCGAACCTTCAGCCTTCTGCAGGCACTGAGCTCCCCGTTTGCCGTCTGAAGAAGCCCCGATGCACGGAAGCAGGGCTATTTTGGGGCAGGAACGCACAGGAACGGAGTTCCGGCTGGCTCCCAAGTTGGCCACGCCCAGCAGGAACTCATTAGCATAATAGGCCACACCCAACAGCAGGAACTCATTAGGATTGGCTACATTAGGGGTGTGTGGCCTAACATGCAAAGGAGTTCCTGCTACAAAAAAAGGCCCTGGGTTTTGACCACAAACAAGGTAAACAGAATAACAAGCAAAAGGTGGGTGTGGCTGGATGACCACACTTCTGGTAACATGGGGGTGCATCCTAATGTGCTAATGAGCTGTGCTGTCAAGGGTGTGGCCCAATATGCTAATGAGTGTCTGCTGTTGGGTGTGGCCTGTTATGCTAATGAGTTCCTGCTGGGCTTTTTCTACCAAAAGAGCCCTGCACGGAAGTGTCTTCAGTCTACGAGGCAGAGGAGGTTTCAGTACAGGTGAGGGCTCAGGTGAGGGAAGAAGAGCGCTGAGGAGTTGGGAACAGACCATGTGAGGCAGCCCAGGAAGAACAAGTTGGCTGTCTTTAAGGGGGAAAGGAGATCTGGGGGAGAGGAGGGCAGCAGAACTGGAGCTTTGAAGGAGAAGGAGAAGGGATTGGGTTTACACCCCATGGCCCTGCACTACCCAAGGGAGTCTCAGAGCGGCTGACAATCTCCTTCCCCTCCCCACAGCCGACACCCTGTGGGGTAAGTGGGGCTCAGAGAGCTCCGACAGAAACGGCTCATGAGAGAACAGCTCTGAAAGGACTTGTGACTGACCCAAGGTCACACCAGCAGCTGCATGTGGAGGAGTGGGGGAATCAAACCCGGCTCTCCCAGAGTAGAGTCTGCACTCCTAAGCACTACACCAAGCTGGCTCCTGGAGGACCAACGCTAACGAACAGCTGTTGACAGGGCTGGTTGGTGCCCACCCATTCATGATGCATTGAGCATAGCAAGAAGCGATGGGCGGCGTGTGTCGCTGCAGGCGGTTATCACTTGATGTCCCCTGGAGCACAGCCCCTAGCCATGGAGGCAGTGGCTCGCTCCCAAATCAGGGCTATGGTCATCAAGCACCGAGAGAGTGACAAATTGACACAGGAGACACCGGAAGGCTGCAGGCAGCGGGTTCGCTTTAGGTTGCCCATGTCGTCTTTCTTGGGAGAAAAAAAGCGGCAGGCTGGAGAGGGGTCGTTTCAGCAGGGGGGGGGGGAATGCCAAAGGACAATGAGGGTGAGAAGCTCCTCTTCCAAACACTGGCCTTTCACTTGAGAGGACGGCCTCCGTGACACCGTTTGGCTTGTGAAAGAAAGAAGAGAAACAACACAGGACTTAGCGTGACATGTCCTTTGGGCCTCTGTCCCTGGCATCTGTTAAACACATCAGGACAGCAAAACGGGCCACCAAGGGATGCCCTGGCACTCCTTCCCAGCAGTTTTGTAGAGAAGGCGGGGATCAGAAGCCGCCGCAGCTCCCTGGCATAGTGTCAGGATCGCTGTGCATTTTGCATTTTACAGCTTGCCTGTCAATGGGAGAGGAGGTTCCTCTCTCTCTCTCTCTCTCTTTGATGTGGGGGGGGGGGCTTGTCACCTTCTCGATGCCAAATGTCCTGACTTCTCAAATGTCTGTGATCTTGTTGTCCTTACTACGTAAAGATCAACAACCTCAGATATGCAGACGATACCACTCTAATGGCAGAAAGTGAAGAGTCCCTTGGACTGCAAGAAGATCAAATCGGTCAATCCTAAAAGAAATCAACCCTGACTGTTCCCTGGAAGGCCATATAATGAAACTGAAGCTCAAAGACTTTGGCCACCCAATGAGAAGGGAGCACTCACTGGAGAAGAAGACCCCGATGCTGGGAAAGACTGAAGGTCAAAGAAGAAGGGGGTGGCAAAGGATGATGAGATGGTTAGACAGTGTCATCGATGCAACGAACATGAAATTGAGCCAACTTCAGAGGACGGCGGAAGACAGGCGGGCCTGGCGGGAGCTGGTCCATGGGGTCGCGGAGAGTCGGACTCGACTGTGCGACTGAACAACAACAACATGTGCCTATGGGGGAAGCAGAGTGTGGGGGGGAGCTGATGGTTAGTTCTGGCCGGCAAATACCGTGTGGTGGTTGGGTCCTGATCTTTAGTGCCTTTACTTGAATCCACTGTATCTACAACCTTCGCGTGTTTAACTTCAGTCCTAACAACAGATGCGTCCAGGATGGTATCTATCAACTGTCTCAATAAAGTTAGCTTTCTTCAAACCGGCTGATGCTGAGAACTGATTGAACCAGGAACCTGACAAATTGTTAGGACTCCCTTTTTCTTCCTCAACCTCCCGCACCACAGACGTGATGAGCCCTACAACTACGGTGGGCAGCACCGTGCTGGAGCAACAGACCATGGCGGCTCCAGTGAAGGCCACGGAGCCTCAAGGAGCTGAAGGTGGGGCACGGACCCAAGGCTCCTGGGCGCCTCTCCGCACCTGGGCTGAGCCCACCTGGCTCTTGACTCCTGGTCCGAGAGATTTCTGTGTGACGACGGCGCTACGGGTGCTCGTTCCAGGAGGAACCAGAGCGCATCCGTGTTGTGGAGGGCCCTGAAGTTGAGCATCTCCGTAGGGAGTTCAGGGGCGAGGTTGAAGAGATGAGGCGAGAGATGCAAAACATGATGCTGGACATACTGGGCCTTCACAATGAAGTTAGCTTTCTCCAACCTGGCGTTCTTCAAACGCTTGGGGCTATTTAGCTTGGGGAAACGACGGCTGAGGGGTGACATGATCGAGGTTTATAAGATTATTCATGGGAAAGAGCAGGTAGAGAAAGAAGTACTTTTCTCCCTTTCTCACAATACAAGAACTCCTTGTGGGCACTCCATGAAATTGCTGAGTGGTCGGGTTAGAATGGATAAAAGGAAGTCTTTCTTCACCCAAAGAGTGATGAACACATGGAATTCACTGCCACAGGAGGTGGTGGCGGCTACAAGCATGGACAGCTTCAAGACGAAATTGGATAAACCTATGGAGCAGAAGTCCATCAGTGGCTATTAGCCACAAGATATAGATAGGAACTCTCGGTCTGGGGCAAGTGATGCACTGTCTTCTTGGTGCTTGGGGGGGCGGGAGCAACAGTGGGAGGGCTCCTAGAGTCCTGGCCCCACTGCTGGACTTCCCAATGACACATAGTATTTTTGGCCACTGTGTGACAGAGTGTTGGACTGGATGGGCCATTGGCCTGATCCAACATTGGCTTCTCTTATGTTCCTATGGTGTTGACAACTGATTGAACCAGGAACCTGACCCGTACCGTCTGCAGGAGAAGTACATCAGCCCTGACCTGGATGACTAGCAGGAACAACTTGGCCACGGACAAAGACTCTGGTCCAAGACCTGCACTGGGACACCTCCCTTGCTTACAGCTAGTAGGACCTGCCAGACATCTGCAGCCCAGACGGTGTGTTTGCTCTCCTTCCTTGCTAACACAATTGCTACAAAGAGCCCACCATTTCATAAATGGGGAAACCAGTGAGCATCTACCCAGCCAGCAAATTCAGTCCTCTAACTGGCGTGATGTCTGCAGTTCGGAATTCTACCCGAGGGAGTTCTGAATATGAATTTCAAATACTTCTGGCTGCTCTTTCGAATGGCTGACTCGGCATTTTCAGGAAGGTGTTTTCGTTGTGTGTGTGTGTGTTTTAAATATTCTGTGACTTTTATTTCGTAAACTGCTTTGAGTGAAATTTGGCATTCAGACAAGTGGTGCAGATGCATATTTTCATAAAATCAACCTTTGCTTCCTTACCTTGGTCTTGCCGGTAAGACCCCCACAGACGGTGGACAGGTTCTTCAGTCCAGTAGCTCTTCATGATCAACAAGGTTAGAGCCCATTTTGCCAGTTGAAGACCCAGTATCAACTCAATGTCTGACATAAATGCCACTTTGTCGGGCCAGGCCATGTGTGCCATAAAATGTAACACAAGGTACCAGAGATATAAACTTTATAAAGATTATTTCAGATGCTGAATGGCAATAGCCAGCTTGATCGGATTGGGTGTGATATGCAGAGGGGTAGTAGGAGTAGAGATATCAGCACTGGTAATGAGACAGAAAACCTAGCTCTCAATTTGGTACAAGAGGATTCAGTCCAGGAGGATGCAAAGAATAAATGGAAATATGTCTGAGGAAGTGAGCAGTGACTCACAAAAGCACATACCCTACCACAATTTTGTTAGTCTTTAAAGGTGCTACTGGACCTTTTTCTACTGCTATTACAAACCACAACATTCAAAAACCAGTGGGGGGACATTTTAACGTTCCAGGGCATTCAGTCGCTGACCTAGCAGTAGCAGTTCTCTTACAAAGGAATTTCAAAGGGAGATCAGAAAGAGAGATGGCTGAATTGCAACTGATCATGAAGCTCAAGACAATGCAGACTCCTGGACTGAACTGAGACCTAGGTTGTTTCTCTCATTAACAATGCCTGCTATTGTCATTTGGCATCTGAAATCACTTCACTCTCCAAGACAGAGGGACTCCCATTCTAGCTGTGTCTGATGAAGTGAGAGACTTTGTGCTGCTGGACTCTTGCTCCCTTTCACTAATAAGGAATGCAAGCCGTACTGTTAGGTTTCTTCCCCTCCCCATTCTGTTAGAAATGGAAAAGGCTCTCTGGCATGCTCTCTTCAGCATCTCCCCTCCCCCAAAGAAGTCTGCAGGCAAACAAAAACGTTGCTGGCACTGACTCTTACCCTCTCCCTCCCCCCCCCCTCTCTGGCATGCTAGTCTTCCTAAAAGGACTCCTGGACTCCCACTTTCCCTCCCACTCTCTGGCTCTTTTCCTCCCCCTCCCTCCCTCCCCAGGGGAGGAGGGGGTGGAGCCCTCAGCCCATCAAAGGAAGGCTTTCTTTCTGTCCTCTCCCAAGCAGGAGATAGGAGAGGCTGGGGAACGACCTGCAACTCTAGAAGGAAGGAGGAAGCAGCAGGTATGTTTTGGACTCAGTATTGGCTGGCACTGGTTGACCCCGGAGGGGGCTCAGTCGCCCTGGAAAATTTCAGGAGGTGCCCCAGCCCCCGAGCCCCCCCGTACTCTACGCCTATGCCGGGATGCTGCATTGTACTTAGTGCTTCTTTCTCATTCATGGTCCTACAGGAGCCACATGGGCTCTGAACTTGTGAACTAGACCCTTGTTTTGATTTGAGTGTATCATCTCCTCCCACCCTCAACCAGGTTTTTCTGTAGTTTAGTAACTGGTTAGAGTAGCGAAGGCATTGTCATTGGGGGGACAGGGATCTGTCTGCATGACCTACAGTTTAGGCGGGTCCTACCCTTGTTCTTGAGTCACATGGGAGGGGCTGTGGCTCAGTCGTAGGACATCCGCCTGGCATTCAGAAGGTCCCAGGTTCAATCCCTGGCGCCTTCAGTTAAAAGAACCAAATAGGAGGTGATGTGAAAGACCTCTCGTTGCCTGAGACCCTGGAGAGCTGCTGCCAGTCCGAGTAGACAATACTGACCTTGATGGACGGTCTGATTCTGTATATGGCAGCTTTGCGTGCGTCCACATACTCATGTTTTTGTGTGCGAAAAGGGAGCCTGCCAAATTCCTGCGTATGGATCCTTGTCTTATTTTATTTTGTAGCCCAAAATTGCAGAGGAGAATTTGACCTATGCTGAACTGGAACTCATCAAACCCTTCCAGAAGGAAAAAGGGATTCCGACAATGACCGTCTACGCTCAGATTCTCTTTGAGGAAAACAAGATGTAACGCCTATCCAGGACAGGTCCCATGTGCTGGCACATATTTAATTCTTCCTGTGTAGTGTATTTATAAAATGTCACAAAAGTGTCCTTTTGCCTGGTCTGTTTTTATAAGATTTGTAAAAAAAAAAATGTATTTCTTAAGGGAATTTGGGTGGGACCCAACAAGAAAAAGGGCCTCGGACTTTGAACCAAGTCTTGTTTAACCCTGTAATGTTTTTACCTGTGGGTTTTGTTTTGTTTTTACCTGTCATGCTAAATGTGATTCCCCACCAGGACCCTTTTGCGGTTGTTGTGATCCGAAACCCAGTGCTCCAAGTTAGGCAGTAGCCCCATTTCTTAGCTGAGCCAAGAAGTTGCAACTGAAATCCAGTTTTGCTGATTCTACATTTCAAACATTTGTTCATTTTTTCGTGGAAGTCTACATAGCACATAGGCTTTTAGACAAAATAATATAACCACAACTGAAATACATAAGAAGTTAAAAAAGAAACATTCAGCACTTTAGGGAAAGGTAAATATTAAAGACATAATTTTAGATATTGGATTAAAATAGTAACAGGATGACTGCGTATTTCACTAAGCACCGACTTCATAGCAGTAGTCTGGATTTTTAGTGCGGCCCAGAGATATTTGGTAACTGCCAGAGATATGTGATTTTCATTTCCAGACAGAAGATTAAGCAAATGGGAGTCCTCCAAGTGCTTGGGAAAGGTTAGAAGAAAGGGGGTTATCAGAGAATCTCTTAAACTGCCATAGAACTTGCATGAGAAGAAGAAGAAGAGATTGGATTTATTTCACACCCTTCAGTAACCAAAGGAGCCTCAGAGCAGCTTACCATCTCCTTTCTCTCCCCCTCCCCACAACAGACACCCCCTGTGAGGCAGGTGGGGCTGAGAGAGCTCTTTTGAGAACTGCTCCTGAGAGAACAGCTCTGAGAGAACTTGTGACTGACCCAAGGTCACACAAGCAGCTGCACGTGGAGAAGTGGGGACTCAAACCCACTTCTTCCAGATTAGAGTCTGCGCTCCTAACCACGACACCAAACTAGAAAAGTGTGTTGGGGTTTCAGGCACCTCAAGACCACAGGGAACATTTCTTTGACAATGTGGCGTGTTAGAAAATCTTCCAAAAATACCAGCAGTTGGTAATGCATTAAAAAAAAAAAAGCCCAGGAAAGGAGACAGCAATAAGAGGGAATGGTTAAGAATGTAGATACTTACTGGCAACAAACGGTGTTGTGGGAGACTCTTCAAACACAGGATGGGCTTCCTTCAGCACCCCCTTCCCATGCAGACACACCCTGCTGGCCTCTGCCTTTGGGCATTCCAGCCCTTAGCATCGAAAGGACATAACTGGCACACACACGGGAGAAGGGAGCAGACCTCAGTGGGAGGACGCAGGTGACGGAAGTTAGCAAATGGCAAGAAAGGCCGTCAAAAGCGACTGTGTGAAGGAGAAGAATAGAGAGAAAGAAGGGGGAGAATAGAAACTAAATTAAGGTCCCGTTCACACGGAGAAGTTGCAATGCTAAAGACATGGATGATAGGCGGATTTTCGGTGAGCGATCACACCGCAACGTCTGGGAAGCTTAGTGCACCCGCGGCTTCCCGCCGAAGATGCAGAGTAAAAAACTACTGTATACAATATACTCGTTTCCGGCGGGCATCTGATCGCGTTTCCGCTCGAATCCCGTGGCATACAGCTCCCGTCCATGTCCTGTCGCAAACTGGATGGGGTTTTTTAAAGTCTCCACAGGATGCGCTTGCTCAATCATGCGCATGCACAAACTTCGGTGAGAAAATAAATCCCGTTTGCCACGGAAACGATGCCTAGCGATTGCTGGTGTGATCGCACCGCACCGCTTCTTTGCCGCACTTCAGGATAGCCGTGTGATCGGCACCTAACGGTGTAACCACGGGACGTGTGATCGGGCTGTTCCGGGGCAAACAGCCACGCCTCACCCCCGCGTTATCTGGCCCATGTGACCGGGGCCTAAGACATGTTAAATACATCTCATATAAATAAAGGTAGTGGAAGTAAAACATGCAAAGTAGGTAAGCATTAGATTGATCCAACTACTTTAAATTTTTTATAATTAAAATCCAGGATACAGATCTAGCCAGGAGGCTCCGGAACGGTAGCAGGATTTTCCAAAGCTGCTGAAATATCGTTCACAGCAAGCTCCCGTGAGCCTTTGGTCATTATCCAGACGAATCTTTAAAAGATGATAATCTGCAGAAAAACCAGGGAAGGGAGCCAGGATGGCGCCTGGTGGAGGGTGTCAAGAGAGCCACAAACTCAGTGGCACTCAGCTTCCGTTTCCCAAGAGTTGGTCACCTGCACACTCGAGGTCTCATGATGGATGCAATGCAACCCCAGCTCGCATTTCACATCTCAAGTAACGAGACCCTCCTTCTTAACCTCTCTTCTGTCTGGTTCACTCTTAAGGCGGTTATTCCAAAGCCATCTTGATTTATTCTGTACTGTGGGATAGCCCTTAACACCCTTGTGCCAGCTGGAGATTTGGGTGGGGAGATCTTTGAGTAGGCACCTGTTCGCACTTAGAGAACATCTTGCTTGTATCGTAACTCTTACCTGCCTGCTATCAAAGATAACACAATGATGATGACAACTGGAAATGAGTTTTTTAAAAAATATATATTAAAAAGTATTCTCAGGGATTAGACTGGAAGAGCAAACATTGGCTGTCCTCCTCTGTACCTGGAACCAGTCGTAACAGATGGCAGGACCACTGAGAGCTGCCGCAGACCAGTGTTTCCTCTAAGCTGAGTTGGTGTGAGCCAGCTCACAGTTTTTTAGCCTCCAGCTCACACATTTTTGTCTTAGCTCAGGAAGGACGGCTCCAGAGCAAACTAATTTATGCAGTAGCCACATTGCTCGCTCACAACTTTAGTGCCAGTGGCTCACAAAGAAGAATTTTTGCTCACAAGAATCCACAGCTTAGAGGGAACATTGCCGCAGACCAGACACACAAAGAGCCCTTTAGACCTTGCTCACGGAACCCAGACATTTTAGGGGAGGGGCCGTGGCTCAGTGACTGAGCTCCTGCTTGGCACCCAGAAGGTCCCAGGTTCAATCCCCAGAGGCATCTCCAGTTCAGAGGACGAGGCCAGAGGTGATGGGAAAGGCCTTTCTCTGCCTGAGACCCTGGAGAGCTGTAAAGAAGGGGCTGTGGCTACGAGGTGGAGCTTCTGCCTGGCATGCAGAAGGCCCCAGGTTCAGTCCCCAGCATCTCCCATTAAAAATATCAGGCAGGAGGTGATGCGAAAGACCTCAGCCCGAGACCCTGGGAAGCTGCTGCCAGTCTGCGCAGACAATACTGACCTTGATGGGCTGATTCTGTATAAAGCAGCTTTGTGTGTGTTCATGTATGAAGCACTGCATTAGGTGATGGGCCGTGGCTCAGTGGCAGAGCCTCTGCTTGGCACGCAGAAGGTCCCAGGTTCAATCCCCGCCATCTCCAGTTCAGAGGACCAGGCAGGAGGTGATGGGAAAGACCTTGACCCGAGACCCTGGCTCAGTGGCAGAGCCTCTGCTTGGCACGCAGAAGGTCCCAGGTTCAATCCCCGGCATCTCCAGTTAAAAAGGACCAGGCTGGAGGTGATGGGAAAGGCCTCTCTCTGCCTGAGACCCGGGAGAGCCCCTGCCAGTCCGAGTAGGCAGTACTGACCTTGAGGGACCCCAGGGGTCTGACTCAGTATAGGGCAGCTTCACGTGCATCATATGAAAAGTAGCCACATGACGTGCTGGCCTCTGTGGGCACGCCCGCTGAACAGTGCCCTGGCCATTTTGTCCCCTGAGCCCCCCAGCCTCTCGGCAGCCCTGCCTGAGGGTCCTGGACTTCTCCACCCCCCGCATGACTGAGTCTTCTTGCGGCTCCAACTAGACAACTGTGGCCAGGAGGCCTCCTTGCAGCAGTGGTTTTATCCCGTCAGTTGTCTTGCTCTGCGGCTGAGGGATTCCTTTCCGGCGCCTGAATGCGTGAATCAGCGGGCAGGACAGGCGTGATATTGTTGCAGTGAAAGGAAGGGGCTGAGTTGTAAGAAAGGGGGGGCCTGACGCAAGCCCTTTGCAGAAGCCCAGGGTGCCGTTTTTAAGCTCTCAAGGGAAGGTTTCCCTGGCGTTGGGTCCACTTGCGAAATAAAACCACTAATGTCTGTTTCATCTGCAGGAAATACTTCTTGTTAATGTTTTCATTTTCTACATGTATCCTCATTTATGTCTCATTTATGTCATAGGGTTGCCAGCTCTGGGTTGGGGTTGGGAAATACTTGGAGATTTGGGGGAGGGTGGAGTTTGGGGAGGGGGGGGACTTCAGCCCAGTACGATGCCACGGAGCCCACCCTCCAAAACAGCCATTTCCTCCAGGGGAGCTCCGTAGTCTGGAGATCAGTCAGTCCTAACAGAGGTAGATCTCCAGGTCCCGCTTGGAGTTTGGCAACCTTATTTATGTGTGATTCCCTGGATCATTTGGCTTAAATAAATGACTTACAAGTTAGTTTGTGTGAGATTTCTCAGCTACGGCAATGAACTCAAAGAACCGTTTCCCCCCCAACTGCGTTTAGCTCTTGAATGAGGACCTCTCCTTTCCCCCTGTATCCCCAGCCCCACCATTTCTGCCTTCTCTCCCCTGGCATCCCATGTAGCCCCTCCCCCTTTCCTCCTCCGCTCGCTCTTCCCCACCCACCAGCCAACCTGTCTTCACTGTCTGCGTCTCCCTCAGTGCCTCTCCTCAGGAAAGGTCTAGCCATAAGAACATAAGAGAAGCCACATGTTGGATCAGGTCAAAGGCCCCTCCAGTCCAACACTCTGTGTCACACAGGGGCCAAATATACCAGGTGCCATCAGGAGGTCCAGCTGTGGGGCCAGGAGGACACTAGAAGCCCTCCCACTGTTGCCCCCCAAGCACCAAGAAGACAGAGCGTCCCTTGCCCCAGACATAAGAACATAAGAGAAGCCAATGTTGGATCAGGCCAAAGGCCCATCCAGTCCAACACTCTGTATCCCACAGTGGCCAGAAACACCAGGTGCCCTCAGGAGGTCCACCAGTGGGGCCAGGACACCAGAAGCCCTCCCACTGTTGCCCCCCCAAGCACCAAGAAGACAGAGCATCCCTTGCCCCAGACTGAGAGTTCCTATAAGAATATAAGAGAAGCCCATGTTGGATCAGACCTGTGGCCCATCCAGTCCAACACTCTGTCACACAATGGCCAAAAATACCAGGTGCCATCAGGAGGTCCACCAGTGGGGCCAGGACATTAGAAGCCCTCCCACTGTTGCCCCCCCTTCCCAAGCACCAAGAAGGAGAAGAAGAAGAA